AAAAAAAAAAAAATTTAACGAAACAATTTGTGCACAAAACAAATACGAGAAGAACCCGTCGTCTTCCCCCAATATTATCCATGGATCCCTTCAAATTCCTTAAAATCTCTCCAAACCCAGACGGATCAATCACTCGTCTCGCCCCATTCCCTGCAGCTTCGACGACAGAAGACGCCGTACCCGACTCTGACTCTGCCCAACTCGTTCTCTCCAAAGACGTCCCTCTGAACCCTAACCACAAAACCTTTCTTCGCATATTCAGACCCCCAACTCCTCCGAACACTAAGCTCCCTCTCATCATTTACTTCCACGGAGGCGGATTTGTACTCTTCAGCGCTACATCTCGCCCTTTTCATGATTCTTGCTGCTCCATGGCAGCTCAGATTCCTGCTTTGATCCTGTCCGTTGAATTCCGTCTTGCACCGGAGCACCGCCTTCCCGCAGCGTACGATGATGCCATGGATTCGATCATGTGGGTCCGGAAACAAGCGATGAATATCAACGGCTGTGATCCATGGATGAGGGATTCCGCTGATTTTTCGAGGTGTTTTTTGATGGGAAACAGTGCGGGCGGTAACATGGTTTATCATGCCGCTCAACGTGTAATGAACGTTGATCTTTCCCCCCTAAAAATCGAAGGGCTGATAATGGATCAGCCATACTTCGGCGGCCTCCGGAGAACCAAATCGGAAATCCAATTCGTCAACGATCGCATTCTGCCGTTACCCGCCAACGATCTGATGTGGGCCCTCGCATTGCCCAAGGATACGGATCGTGATCACGAGTACTGCAATCCAATGGTGAGTGGGGCACACAATGCAGACATCGGACGGTTGCAAAGGTGTTTGGTGAGGGGGCATACAACGGACCCACTGGTTGACCGGCAAAGGGAGTTTGTGAAGATGTTGGCGGCGCGTGGGGTGCAGGTGGTTGAGCAGTTTGATGAAGGTTTCCATGGTGTGGAGTTCTTCGATCCCTCCAAAGCTCAAGCTTTATGTGATAGTGTTAAGAAATTTGTTAATGTTTCCCGTGAAAGTGTTAAACTTGCTGGTGCTAGATCTAGGCTGTGAATTTGGCAACAAGTGGAAAAATGAAAACATATATACTTAGCCAAAAAAAGAAAAAGGTTTTATATTTGAAAAATATAGTTTATCCAATGAATATCTTTAAATATCGTTAATAAAATTATTTTTTATATTATTTTATTAAAAATATTTGAATAAATTTATAAGATATTTTGTACTTTTAATATATAGTTTATTTTAAAAACCTTATATATCTACACTTAGTTTGTATTCTCTCCATTTTTTAATAGAACTTTGTTTTATAGTTTTGATTGCATAAAATTATAAAAATATAAACTATTAAATGAAGAAAGGTAAAATTCTCAAATTCACTCTTTAAATTATACGGTAGAAATAAATTCACCTCTTAAGAAAATATAAAAGATAAATTATTTTTTAAAATTATTGATTAAAACAATTCATCTATTATTTCACATGTAATATCATTATACATCAATTTTTTATTAAAAATGCCCATTAAAAATATTAAAATACTTTATTTTTAAAGCATGAATTAGAATATTTTTTTATCATTTCTTATAGTATTTTATTAAAATTACGTAATTTTGAAATAATTTCTCTCTTAATTTTTATGAGATAAGACGAATAAATACTAATTT